AAGAACCAAGCTCAGAGAACCCCAAGGACTCCACAGTTCAACCCTGAGCTACACATATTCACCTCTGTTGGAAATCTGACAGTCTTTATAATTCAGCCCAACCTATCTCACAGGGTCGTTAAGAGGATGAAATGAATGGAAGAGAGTAGCCATTTGAGGTCCATGGGGTTAAAAACAAACAAACACACGTTTTGAAAGTTAATGAATGAGGCCCAGAATTATTCTACCTCCAGCGTTCTAGCCCAAAATTTGCAGAAGGATAAGTACAATACATCTCTGCTTGTTGGAGTTCTTGGTGTTCTCTGCTCTTGTTTTCTTCTTGCAGATGTTTCATTACCAGGCTAGGTAACATCATCAGTGCATCAGGGACAGATGTTCGCTGACTGTTGAGATGTAGTAGCTTGTACACCCCATTCAAAGAACAATCAAGGAAGAAACAATTCCCCACTCAAGGCTGATGAGACAAGTTATTATATATTAGCCACCAGCAAACCCCACTCTCCCTTGCACTGATGATGTTACCTAGCCTGGTAATGAAATGTCTGCAAGAAGAAAAGCAGGCTCAGAGAACACCACAAATCCAACCGTCCAACCCTGAGCTACAAATCTTCTCCACTAGTCCATATCTCTGTTTCTATATCTCAGTCTTTATCTGTATTTTTGGTGGGCAGGGGTGGGGTGGGGGAGAATGGAAGAAACAAAACATCCTGTAAGGTAAAGTTATTCATTTTGCAAACCAGAATCTACACAGTATCTACAGGAGAGGCTGATTGTTTTGCACTTACAAAGGAAGGATCTGAGACAGCAGTTTCTCCGTCTTCTGCTTTTCCATCTCCAATTCTTCCGTTCTCTCTCTGATTAATTCTTCAAGATTGCTGGAATACTTTTCTAACATCCGCAGCATGGAGTCAATGATATTCATCCGTTTTCCTTTGTTGATTGTTTTGAACTGGGGGGGGAAGGAATTAAGGATGGATTTTGGGGTGCAACGTTGATCCGTCAACTAGACAAAATTTAGCTGTTATAGGTTAAATCTGCAGATGACCAGAAACAAGTCCTGCCCCTCTCAGTGCAGAATCCACTAGACCAGCGTTTCTCAACCTTGGGAGCTTTCAGATGTGTGGACTTCAACTCCCAGAATTCCCCAGCCAGCCAT